GACGGGAGCGCACCGCCGCGAGTTCACCGAGTTGATACAGGCCGACCTCACTACGCACCGAGATATGTTATAGCGCCTACCAGCGGAGAGCACTACAGATGACCACTGGGAACTCCTCGTGCAGATCCTGAAGGAAACAGCCAAGCCATATTTCGAAAGCAAGAAGAAGCCAGGCGCCTACAAGCAGCTGGTGACAGAGAGACTCCTACTACCGCATGCCAGAGCTAAGCTAAGACAAGAATACACCGGACGGGGCTACATTGACAACAACACAGAGTACCAGCTCGAGCTCCTTACCAGAGTGCTGAAGCGGCAGAGGCGACTACACGAAGCAGAACGTCGACGCAAGCTAGAGCCCCGCATCCACGAAGCTTGGCAGCAACGGGAGCAGGCTGAAGTGCACCGCCTCGCTCGTCTACTCGCTGGCACGAACCGCGGCAAGCGCAACCGCAACTACAGCAGAGCAACCCGCGCGCGGCCAAGTCTCGCAGAATGGGCGCAGCACGTGGCGCAAAAGGGACACACTGGAGGCTTCGGAGCCTACCGGGTCGACCTCGGCGAAGAGGAGCAGGCGCTCAAGCCGAGCACCCTGGACTTCGCCGCAGAGCGCAACCTCCAGATCCACGCGGAGTGCGCGCGGGCCGGGGACAATATCAGCAAAGTCTTCCACTGCGTGAGGAAGAGGCCCAAGTGCTTCAAGAAGCGCGCCGCCGTGACAGAGCGGCCAGTGCCAGCCGAGATCTACCAGGTGATATTGCAGCCCGCCGCCGTCACCAGGCAGAAGCCCAAGACGTCGGGGATCGGTTGCGATGACGAGCCCGCGGAGGCGCCCCATGCAGAGAAGCTTCGAGTCCGTTCTCAACCGCGTACCGCGTCGGCTTCGCGCCACTGGACGCCCGCAGCCAGAGCTTCATTCTCGACAATCAGTACCACGAGCCCAAGACACTCGGGCTTCGCAAATTACACGCGCGATGCCCCTTCTGGCGGTGCCTCTACAGACAGCTGCAGCGTAAGTCAAAACCATGGTCGCCGCCGCCGCGCGCGCGCGGGTGCTGGCCTCATCGCAGACGCGAAGTACCCATGGCTGCCCCCAGGATCGTGGCGTACCGACTCCAGCGGGCCGAGGCAAATTTCATCGTGGGCAACAAGGACGCAACCAGCGCGTTTCCCAGCACCAAGACCGACAAGGCCGTCGACACTTTCTCGACCGACCTTAACATTTCGGAGCGGCGTCTTTTCCAGCAGTGTTACCAATGCGCAAGTGTCCAGATCGACGGGTCCGACCAGACGGGCGACTTCGGCATGGGCTCAGGAGTGGTGCCAGGATGCAGCGCAGGGCCCGCCTCCTTGAACTTAGTGCGCGAACAGCCTGTGGGGCCATGGCTTGACCAATCCCTTCGACACCAAGCCCTTCGCTGCCGCGTCGCCCATCACGCGCGCATTGATTGACCTGTCCATCTACCCGCACGTCGGTGACATCCTCCAGATGCACCTCGCCAAGTCAGGACTGGCCAAGGACGCAGCCAACGCCCCCGGCAACGGCGACAGCATCCTCGACGCCACCCTGGCCAAATGCGGCTTCCACCAGAACAGGGGCAAGGGGGATGTCGTCGGAGTGCCGCGCACCAGGCGCGAGAACCGAGCACTGCAACACCTCCTCCCTGGGCGAGTCCTGCGCGCCATGAAGTGCACCTCGGCGGTCACTTCCACCGCGCAGACAGCAACGCGATCGAGATTTTCCAGCGGATCCAGAGCACCTCGCGAGCATGGCACAGCATTGGCAAGTTCTGGCACCCACGTGTTGCATGGCGCCTCAAGTGCATCATCTTCATCGACCGCACTGCGGGCGCCGCCAGCGGCATGGGGTCCCACTATCTGAAAGGCACCGAGTACAAGCGCCGAGGCGCCGTCATCGAAAGTACCTGCGAGTGCTCATGCAGGGCAAGTCGACCAACGCTGGCATGCTGGGCACCTGTCGCACTTGAGCAACACAGAGGTCTAAAAGTACTGCCAAAGTTCACCGATGTTCCCAGAGTTGCGCGTGCGTCGCCTTCCCATGATACAGGCCTCAGTCGAGTGCCCGCCGGACAACGTCCAGTGGCTCGCGGCTTTCATCCAGTTTGAGAACGACGCCAGCCGAGACTGTTTCGACGAACCGGACGAAGACGGGCACCTCGCGCCAGACGCGATACCGCTGGCCAAGCAGTACTTCCAGGACATCCTCTCCATTCTCGGGCTCGACAGCGCAGGGCAGTTCATTTACATGTGGGAGGAAGCATTGCGCTTATATGTCATGGCGCAGAAGTCGGCATGGTATTCCTCAAGATAGACCTGGCAGAGCTCAGAGCCATGGCTTCAGCAGCATCGTTTCCTATTCCTGGCTTCGAGCCACAGCAACCTGCAGAATATCTACGCGACGGCGATGAGCTAGGATATTTCACATGTGAACTCCTCAGGGACACAGGACAAGTCCGTGGCCGAGTTTTCCCGACGTGGGCAGCACCTTGCACGCGGCAGACCGCGACAAATGGAGGAGAACACGGGCCACGATCTGCAGCGGTAGCAGTGATTATCACGAACCGATGTCCTCTCTGTCGCACTAACTTTCTCGATCGTGCCCTATCGCGCTCTCGCAAGCACAAGCTTTGCATTGCCGACAACAAGAGACTAAGCTACCCGCTACTTCCTGTCGAGAATCCAGTCTGCCCGTTCCGTCCGGATCTGCTGCCGTTCACGCATCTCTCAAGCTTCCAGGGCCACGTATGCGAGACACCTGCGCCTCCAACCAGCACTAGGTTTCATTGGGCATCGGCTTCTGCGCGGATGGCGCGGGTCGCGCCCAGCGAGCAGGAGGTCAGCGAGGTCGCCGGCAGATTGGCGCCGGCGCCGATCGGTCGACCAAGCATCCGAAGACTTCGCACCCCTGGGGCGGCGCGGGCAACCAGAGAAAAAGGGCGCGAGGCCAGGGGCGCAACAGGGGAAGAGGACGCGCACATGGGCGACGCGACGGACAAGGGCGAGGACAAAACCAAGGACGAGGCCGGACCAGCCGCAGCAGCAGCAGCTGGAGAGCGCCTGCAACGCCATCAACGCGGAGGCGAGGCCTACCAAACCAAGTGCGACCCCTAGCTGAAGAAATTCATCAGCGTCCCCATCAAGCAAGTACTCGCCAGCACGCAGCAGCTGCCCTGGATGGTGGCAGCCGTTTACAGCACGTACCTCATGCCGATTCAGAGCAAGGTGATTAAATCACTACGAGCCTGCAGGAAGGTCTACGCGGACAAGTGCAAGGAAGCGGGCAAGGGCAATTTTTCGGGCCGCCAGAGGGGCACCTCTACACCGCGCTTCTTTCGGCCCTCTGCACAGAGGCCGTCGGGGCCAAGACCAGAGCCATCCTGACCGAGCACGGGCAGTTCGTGGACACCATCAGTGCAGCGACGCTCTTCAACGAAGTGAAGCACCTAAAGCTCTGTAAGTGCTTCGACAGCAACCAGGCCGAGCTCACCATCTACATCGAACAGGGCGCATGGGCAGAAGCCGAAACCGAGGAATATGCAACCGAGCTCCACTAGAAGCAGACCGACACCAAGGACAACATTCACCGCGCTTTGCTGCAGGTGGGAGCCACGGTGAAGACGGGCAAGCCACAAGCGGGAGTCATGGAAGATGAGCGGGCAGCGTGGTTGGCAGGGCTCTAATTTCACGAACGGGGATGGCCGATCGACTACGTCTCGCTCGGCAAGTGGCTGGTGCTGCGTGGCGCCGTGGCCAAAATGAAGGTTTCGCTCTGAGCGGTGACGGCGGGAGCTCTACGCACTACTCCGCCCCCCGAGGCAGCTCTATCTATCCTCCTCGTCCTCCTCCTCCTCCTCCTCCCCATCCTCCTCCCCCTCCTCCTCCGCCTCCTCCTCCTTTTCCTCCTCTCCCTCTCCTCCTCCGTTCCCTCCTCCTCCTCGTCCTCCACCTCCTCCTCTTCCTCCTCCTCCCCTCCTCCTCCTCTTCGTCCTCCTCCTCCAGTCCTCCATCTCTATTGCTTTTCCTCTTTCTTTTCCTCCTCCTCTTCCTCCTCCTCTTTTTCCTCCTCCTCCTCCTTTTGCTCTTCCTCCTCCTTCTCCTCCTGCTCCTCCTTCTCCCCCTCCTCCTCATCCTCCTCTTCCTCCTCCTCCTCCTCCTCCTCCTCCTCCTCCTCCTCCTCACAACGCCCGGCTGGAGGCGAGACATCCTCGCCCCCAGCGGATCTTATCTCGCTCTCTCGCTTTCTCGCTCTTCCCCGGCTCTTTCCCTTCCCTCCTTTCCCGAAGGATTCATGCGTGGCTTCCCCATGACCCCCAGATCCCCGTAGCGGAGCTCGGGCGGAGATGGGGGGCGCTCCGATACATCCTAGATCGGTCTCCTCCTTCGTGGGCTTGGGCACACATCAAGACATTGTCCGGCGGATGGACCACGTCAGCACGAAGTCCGAGCGCTACGGAGTGTCAGTGTTTGTTTGGATGCCAAGCCCCATACTCCTTCCAATAGTACCTCGTTTGTCCTCGTCTCCTCCACCTTCTCGCTGTCCCTCGTGGTTTCCTCCCCGCCTGTCCTCTCACAGGTCTGGGGTTTGGCCCAGTACCCGATAATGAACTCGAGTATCCCCGCCAGCGCTGCCACCAGATCGTAGTGTTGAGCTTCCATGTTTACCACAAGCTGAAAGCGGACCTTGCGGGCAGGCCAAGAGCGGCCACGCCCACCTACCATTACGACATACGAGCCGCAGCCCTCGCCACGATGCGATGCTAGGGCCCTGGCGGTAGCTGAGTCACTGTGGATTCAAGCTACGTGGGCTCCTCCTCCTCCTCCTCCTCCTCCTCCCCCTCCTCCTCCTCCTCCTCCTCCTCTTCCTCCTCCTCCCCCCCCGGCATCCTCCTCCTCCTCCGCCGCCGCTCCATTATGTCCTCCCCGCATCCCCTCCAGGGCGAGGTCGGGCGCGCCTGTTCCGCCGCCTGCCTCCCGCCTCCGAGGTGCCCGTAGCCGCGCGCCCCGCCGAGCAGGAGCATGACGCGAACTTCCGCCCGAAGGAGGGGCCGCGCCAGATTGTGAGGGGGCGGGGGTGAGGAGGGGCACCAGGAGGAGGAGGAGGAGGAGGAGGAGGAGGAGAAGGAGGAGGAGGAGGAGGAGGATGAGGAGGAGTGGAAGGAGGAGGAGGAGGAGGAGGAGGAGGAGGAGGAGGAGGAGAGGAGGAGGAGGAGGAGGAGGAGGGGAGGGGGAGGAGACGGAGGACGAGGACGGGGAGGAGGAGGAAAAGGGAAAGGAGGAGGATGAGGGGGAGGAGGAGCAGGAGGAGGAGGAGGAGGAGGAGGAGGCGGAGGAGGAGAAGTAAAAGGAGAAGGAGGAGGATGCGGGGGGGGGATGAGGGGGAGCAGGAGGAGGAGGAGGAGGAGGAGGAGGAGGAGGAGGAGGAGGAGGAGGAGGAGGAGGAGGAGGAGGAGGAGGAGGAGGAGGATTTTTTTACATGCGCCGCTCCCAGACAACACCAGAGGTCAGCGGGGGGCCAGGCCTGGACCTGACCAGACCTGGACCCCCCGACCGTGCCGACGATGCAGTCAAGGTAGACGTAGTACGCGTACCACGCCGGCGAGCGGGAGAGGGAAAGCTCCACGCTCGCGAGCACGAGGATCCGCACGAGCGACTCCTCGAGCACCAGGAACACGAGGAACCGCACCAGCGACTCCTCGAGCATCAGGAGGAGCGATGCCCGATCTCCGCGAGGACCCGCGCCGCGCGCACCCGAACGTCCTCCTCCCCCGGGTGCCTCTCCTCCCACGGTGCGAGCCGCCACGCCTCGCCGCCCGCCGCCGCCGCCGCACCAGCAGCTGCAGACACAGGCTCGCAGGGCGCAGCAGGCGCCGCCGGAGTACCAGCCCGCGCGTCGGCGCCGCCCGAGGGGACAGCGCCGGGTGCCGAGCGCCGCAGGCCGTCGGCCCAGGCGTCGTCGGCCATGGAGTCGTCGTCGGCGTCCGCGTCGCCAGCAGCCCCCGCCACCTGGACGAGCGCGAGGCCCGTGCCAGCAGAGCCAGCCGCCGCACCCGCGGCCGCCACGTCGACCTCCGTCGTCTCCACCACGACGGCAGCAGGAGCGCCCGCCGCCGCTTTCCTCGCCGCGCGGCGCTGGCGGCGCCGCCTCCGCCGCTCGGCACGCGCCGCGGGCTCGGCGACCGCTGCACCAGCAGGGCCAGGGCGAGGAACTCCAGGATGAGCAGGGGGTGGATCGCCACCAGCGGCAGCGTCGCGAGGCGGCGGCACGGCATCCTCGGCGCGCTGAGCGAACAGCGCGGCCGAGACGGCCGACCTTGCCACCGCCGCGACAGTGCGGCGTGGGGCGCCCCCCAGGACAGCGCCGCGCACGGCCGCCTCCACCAGCGCGGCGGCGGCGGCGGGCAGCGCGGAGGAGGAGGAGGAGGAGGAGGAGCAAGGAGGAGGAGAAGGAGGAGGAATGGAGGACTGGAGGAATGGAGGAATAGATCAATAGAGAAATGGAGGAATGGAGGAATGGAAGAATAGAGGATCGAGGAATGGAGGACTGGAGGAATGGAGGAATGGAGGAATGGAGGAATGGAGGAATGGGGAAATGGAGGAATGGAGGAATGGAGGAATGGAGGACTGGAGGAGGAGGAGGAGGAGGAGGAGGAGGAGGAGGAGGAGGAGGAGGAGGAGGAGGAGGAGGAGGAGGAGGAGGAGGAGGAGGAGGAGGAGAGGAGGAGGAGGAGGAGGAGGAGGAGGAGGAGCAGGAGAGGAGGAGGAGGAGGAGGAGGAGGGGAGGAGGAGGGAGGAGGTGGTTAGGGAGGAGGAGGAGGAGGAACAGTAGGAGGAGGAGGAGGAGGAGGAGGAGGAGGAGGAGGCGGACGAGGAGGAGAAGCAGGAGGCGGAGGCGGAGGCGGGGGCGGAGGAGAAGGAGGATGAGGAACAGGAGGAGCAGGCGGAGGAGGGGGATAAGGACGAGGATTGGGAGGAGGAGGATGACAAATGGAGGAGGAAAGGAAGAGGAATGGAGACACGCTCCTGCCTCGTCGCTTCAGTTCGCCCACAGCAGAAACTGCAGTGAGGTGGAGGGAGGGAGGGAGGGAGAGAGGGAGGGAGGGAGGGAGGAGGAGGAAGGGAAGGTGGGGGAGGAGGAGCAGGAAGAGGAGGAGGAGGAGGAGGAGGAGGAGGAGGAGGAGGAGGAGGAGGTGGTTAGGAGGAGGAGGAGGAGGAGTAGGAGTAGGAGTAGGAGCTTTTGGCGATGCCAGTACCGATGGTGAGCTAACCACGGCGAAGCGAGGAGGAGGAGGAGGTGGAGAAGGAGGAGGAGGAGGAGGAGGAGAGGGGGAAGGAGGAGGAGGAGGAGGAGGAAGTGAGGAGGAGGAGGAGAGGGGAGGAGGAGGCAAGGAGGAGGAGCAAGGAGGAGGAGGAGGAGGAGAGGAGGAGGAGGAGGAGGAGGAGGAAGGGAGGAGGAAGTGAGGAGGAATGGAGGAGAGCAGGGCGGAGAGCAGGGAGGAGGCGTGAGCCTGCCTCTGCAGGGCGGTGCCGCCTCGCAGAGGCGCCAACCCCCGCGCAGCTGGACGACTGGGCCGCGGTGCTGCGCGCCGAGCGCGCCGTCGTCGGCGGCTTCGCTCTGACCGACTCCGAGCGCTCGGCGGCCTGGCTGTCGAGCAGCCCCCCAAGGGGGGAGCAGAAGGTGATCGTTTTCTGATTCGTTGTTTGGCCGATCGGCGCGGGCCCTGCCCCCCCCCCCCCCCTCCCCCCCCCCCAATTGAGTGGGTCTTGGCTGTTTTTTTGGCGCCTGTTTCGAGCGGGTGGGGTCTCCCCAGGACGCACGGTCCCAAACAGTCGCACTAAGCAGAGGTCCGGAGCCAGACCCCCCCTCTCCCCCCCCCTTGCGCCCAATGCCGAAACGCCGAGCAACAAAAACGCTCACAAGACGGAGGGAGGATGGTTGGGCGTGGTTCGGGCGGCTGCGAACCGTCGAAGCGACTGTCGAGACCCTTGAACGCATTATCACCCTGCGGCGAAATCCCTGCGGCGGGCTTCGAGGTGCGAGTTGCGAGGGTTTCGGGCGCCTTCGTCGGTCCTCGGCAGCTTTCCGGCCTCGGGGGGTGCCTTTTTCGGCAAGCTGCGCCTCGCCGCGGGCGCTGTGCCCGGATGGCCCCCCGAACGGCCGCCGAGCCTACCTGAGACCCGAGAGCCAAAAGCGGACAGCCTCTTCCATTCTCACTTGCCTCCATCTTCGCCCTCGGTTTATTGTATATGCCCTCCTTCGCCCTCCTCCTTCGCCCTTCTCGTCGGTCCTCTCCCAGGAGGCCTCGGTGTTCTTCTCATCGGGGTCACCTCGCGAGCCACATCGCGGAGCGATGTCGATGCGCTGAGAGGCCAGGCCGACCACCCAAGGGCGAAGAGAAAGAGTTGGAATTGGAGGTGGGGCCCCTAGACATCGAAGCAGCTATCATAATCTAATGAAGACCGTTTCTGGTCTTTACGTTATCTCCCCTCTTGTTCCAGGCCTTACGCTTTTGGACACTGGCCACGGGCCAAACGCCTGAAATAACCAGGGGGATCAGAAAGAGGAGGAGGAGGAGGAAGGGAAAGAGGAGGAGGAGGCGGAGGAGGAGGGCGAGGAGTATCGCGGAGGGGAGAGGGATGAGGAGGGAGGATGGAGAGGATAGAGAGGAGAGTGGGAGGAGGAGGAGGAGGAGGAGGAGGAGGAGGAGGAGGAGGAGGAGGAAGAGAGGAGGAGGAGGAGGAGGAGGAGGAGGAGGAGGAGGAGGAGGAGGAGGAGGGAGTGGAAGTGGGAATGGGGAAGGGGACGTGCGGAAGAGGAGGAAGAGGGCTGATAGGGGGCGGAAGCGGGAGTGGGCAGGCGGGATGCTGCTTCTGCTGCTGTTGCTGATGATGGTGATAATGACAGATGATGATGATGATGATGGTGATGCTGATGATGATGATTATGATGATGATGATGAGTGGTAATGATTGATGATGGTGATGATGAGGGTGCCCGGACATCTGATTCAGGACGATTGCGAGAAGGAAGGACGGAGGAGGAGAAGTAGATAGAAGAGGTGGCGGAAGAGGTGAGTGATGGCACAGATGGTGGTGATGATGATGGTGACGATGATGATGGTGATTACCATGACGATTATGATGTTGATGATGATGCTGCTGCTGATGATGTTGATGATGCTGATGGTGATGACGACGACGGTGACAAGGATGATTGTGGTGGTGGTGGTGGTGATGCTGATGATGCTGATGCTAATGATGTTGATGCTGATGCTGATGCTGATGATGCTGATTAGGATGCGGATGACGGTGATTACGATGCGGTGATGCTGATGCTGATGCTGATGCTGATGATGATGCTGATGATGATGCTGATTAGGATGATGGTGATGATGGTGATGATGCCGATGATGAGCATGGTTATGATGATGGTGGTGATGGGTGGTGGTGATTGATGATGGTGATGATGAGGATGCCGGGATATCTGATTCGGGATGATTGTGAGCAGGAACAATAAGTAGAAGTGGTGACGGAAGAGGTAAGTGATGGCACAGAGGAGGAGGACGAGGGAGACCAGGAGGGTGAAGATGGTAGGAGGTGGTGGAAGAGGAGGAGGAGGAGGAGGACCAGGATGGGGGAAAAGGGGTGATGCTGCTGATGATGCGCATGATGCTGCTGATGCTGATGCTGGCGGTGGTGATGGTGGTGGTGATGATGGTAATTGTGATGATGATGCTGCTGATGATGCTGCTGCTGATGACGACGATGATGATGATGATGATGATGATGATGATGATGATGGTGACGGTGATAGTGATAGTGATGATGAGGATGCTCCTGAGGACGATGATGGTGGCCATGCTGATGATGGCGATGTCGATAATGGCGATGGCGGTGAGGATGATGAGGCTGGTTATGATGTTGATAGTGGTGACGACGGTGATGATGATCATCATGGTGAGGATGATGACGATGATGATGCTGATGATGATGCTGATGATGATGCTGATGCTGATTATGATGATGATGATGCTTCTGATGATTTCGGTGATGATGACGATGATCATGATGATGGCGATGACGATGATCATGATGATGATGGCGATACTGATCCTGTTGTTGATGTTGATGATGAGGATGATGATAATGATGATGACTATGATGATGGTGGTGATGATGATGTTGTTTTTGTTGATGTTGCTGCTGCTGCTGATGATGATTATGACGATGATGAAGATGATGCTGATGATGCTGTTGATGATGATGATGATGATGCTGCTGGTGATGCTGATGATGAGGATGTTTGTGGTTGTGGTGATGATGATGATGATGATGATGCTGATGATGATGATGATGATGATGATGATGATGATGATGATCATCATGATGATGATCATGATGATGATGATGATGATGATGATGATGATGATGATGATGATGATGATGATGATGATGATGATGATGATGATGATGATGAGGAGAGAGGAGGAGGAGGAGGAGGAGGAGGAGGAGGAGGAGGAGGAGGTGAAGGAGGAGGAGGAGGAGGAGGAGGAGGAGGAGGAGGAGGAAGGAGGAGGAGGATGAAGGAGGAGGCAGCGGGGCGGAGGAGGAGGAGGACGAGGAGGAGGAGGAGGAGGAGGAGGAGGAGGAGGAGGAGGCGCGAGGTCGCTCTGTTCTGGCTATCCGGTTACATCGAGCCTGTGCCGTTGCCGATGCCGGGCCCTGGCCTGGACAGACCGGAGCCTCTGCCAGTTGGAGAGTCCCCACCACCCACCCTGGGCGTTGGCCCGACGGGGGAGGGCTTTCCGCTGGAGCAGCTGCTGCTCCCCCCCGTCGTGCTCCGTCCTCGTCGTCCTCTCTCTCGTCTTGCGGCTGCTGCTGCTGCTCCTCCTGCGGCGTTTCCTCCACCGGTACTGCTCCTCTTCTTGCTGCGCCCAGTCTTTGTCCTCGTTCTCCGCCCTGTGTCCTCCCTCGCCCTGTGCTATTCCACCTTTTTCCTCATCCTGCCGTCTCTCCTCCCCCTTTGTATCTTCCTCCTCCAGCTCAGTCTCACCTCCCCCCGCCTCTTCACTTTCCTACTGCTCCTCCGTATCATCATCCTTCGGCGCTTGATGCGGCCGCTGCTGATGTTCTTTCTCCTGATCTTCGCTCCCTCTTCCTGCTCTCGCTGTCGCTGAGGATGTTGCTAACCCCTACAATTCCCCTCGCCTCTCTCTTCACTTCAAGCTCCGCCTCCGCCGCAGCTGCCTCCTGCCTGTCATCCTCATCTCCCTCCCCTCCTGATCTTCCTTCCCCGTTGCTTCTTCGAGGGGATAGGGGCGGGGGGGGGATGCAGAAGAGGATGCGGCTCTGCTGGGGGATGAGGGGGGAATGGGGGGCGGGATGGGGCTGGAGGGGAGGACGAAGAGGTTGTGAGTTCATGGGTAGGAGAACGAGGAGGAGGAGGAGGAGGAGGAGGAGGAGGACGAGGAGGAGAAGGAGGGGTAGGCGCATGAAGGGGGGGGGCGAGGAGTTGCAGGAGGGGGAGGATGCGGACGAGGAGGGCGCGGGGCGTCCAGATGGTTGGACGCGCCGCGGAGAGCCGTCGCAGCCAGGCGCTGGCGTGGTGCCTCGGGAGCGCGGCCATCCATGCACAGGCGCTGCGCCCAGACTCCCCGCTCGCATGGGACTCCGCGTGGGAAGACGGCTGTGGGTGGGGGCGGGCGTCAGGAGGAGGAGGGGGGGCACGGCAGGACTCGCCTGCACTCAAGGAATATGGAAGTGCTGTTTCGCGCTCCTAAGCCTTCTCCTCTTCCTCCTCCTTCTCCTCCTCCTCCTCGTCGTCCTCCTCCTCCTCCTCCTCCTCCTCCTCCTCCCCCTCCTCCCCCTCCTGGTGGGCACGGCACGATGCGCGGAACGGCACCATCGATGCACTGCTCCAGGGGTAGCCTCACACCGCAGCTCCAGCTGCACACGGCCCGCGCCTCCCGCGGGCGGCACCCTGGCCACGCGAGGGGGGGGGCGGCCGAGGCTGCCGCGGAGCTTCTGCCCATCGTGCGGGTTCCAAGTCGACTCGTTGGGTAGCAAGTCATGGGAGCCTGGTACACCCTCTTTACGTCATTCTCAGAGGCCAGCAACATATGTACACGTACGCGGTTAGTTTCCCCTGGAGTGCGTGTCAACGCGGACGTTCGTGCAGGCAAGGCCGTGGAGGGCGTACATGTACATATGTCGTTGCTCGCCCACATTCCGTGTGTAGCATCGGCTCGCGTCGCGATTAGCGTTTGAGAGTCGGTGAGACAGCGCCGAACTCGCGTCGGCCAGCGTCGATCTAGCATCGGCTGGCGTCGATCTGGCGTCGACGAGCGCCGATTCGCAAGCGCCGACGAGAGGGTATGGGAGGCCCCCAGGAGCTGCCGCCGAAGACTCGAGCTGCCTGAGGCCGGGCCTTGACCGCTCGGGGTGCGCCCCCCTGCTTCCGCGGAGCCAGGAGGAAGGCACCGGGACCACTGCTCCCCGGACCTCTCCAGGGGCTTCGCTCCGACCTGCATTCCGAGGCTCGGGTTCGCCCAAAAGGGGGGTCCAGCGACAAGGGGGTGGTGCAGTAGATTCGGTGCAATCGATTTGTGGGGTTGCCATGGGTTTGGGGCGTGCAGCACACTCCGGGGCGCAGATGTATCGCTGGGTTTTCGCGTGCCTTACATTGGTTGCAACACAAGGCAATCCAATTCCCTGGCGCGATACATTTGCAATGCAATTGCCCCTAGACCATTGCACCCCCCCTTTCGGCTGGACCCCTTTTTGGGTCGCAAGGAGCGGCGAAGCCACCCGGGGCGACGAGGGCTTCGCAGGAGGCCCAAGAAGGCGAACGCGAGGCCCCGTAGCCATTTTCGCTCAAGCACCGGGCGCGGGGAGGTCCCCCCCCCGCGGGCCCATGGCGAGCTCGGCCTCGGCCTTGGCGCCCGCGGCGATGCGGCCGTTCCAGCTGGACCTGCAGCGGGAGGTGGACGTCATGCAGTCGGTCTACACGCAGGAGCGGCGCCAGCTGGAGGGTCTGCTGCGGCAGCTGGAGGAGGAGGCGCGCCAGGTGGTGCGCAGCGCGCCGCAGGAGGAGGAGGAGGCGCCGGCGGCCTGCGCGGCGAGCGCGGTCCCGCTCGCGCGGCGGGTCCGCTGGCGCCTGCAGGAGGGCGCCCTGGCGCACCACTGGGCGCACCGCGAGGCGGGCCTGGGCCACGGCGTGCGGACGGCGTTCGACCTGCCGGAGTGCCCCGGGGCCCGGCTCTGCCTCGCGCTCGGGCCCGCCGAGGCCACAGGAGACGCCGCCCTGGGCGGTGCCGACGGCGCGGGGGCGCCGCCTCCACGCTACCGCCTGGCGCTGGAGGTCTCCGGCGAGGGCGCCGCGGGCTTCCTCCTGGGCGCCTCGCTGTGGCTGGAGGTCGACGGCGAGGGCCTGCCGCCCGCCTCGGCGGAGCTGCTGGGTGCCAGCGAGCTGGTGTGCGAGGGCGCGTGGCCCGCGGCCTGGCTGAGCGGCGGGCCGCCGGCGGGCGCGGTGCTCACGTGCTGCGCCGAGCTGGAGCCGCGCGGGCACGAGCCCCCGGCGCTCCAGCTGGAGTCGGCGTGGCCGGGCGCTGGCGGGGCCGCCGAGGAGGCCCCTGGGCAGTGGGTCCTGCAGCGGGGCGGCGGCGGAGCGGAGGGCGCTTTGGGCTGAGCTGCCGGCGCGACACGCCGCGGGGCAGAAAAAGAAGAAGAAGAAGACGAAGAAGAAGAAGAAGAAGGCGAACGCGAGGCCAGAGGAGCGGCACTGGCACCTTCCCTCCGCCCCTCGTGCCTGGTACCTCTGCGTGGCTGAGTTCCCCACCCTGGGCTCACAGCGCACGTCTGCCAGCGCACCGACCAACGGCGAGCACCCGAGAGAGCCTGTCTCCCGCGCGCCCCGACGTCGGGCTCTGAGGGCGCTCCGGCCGCTCCGCGGACCTCCCCCCCCCTTCGCCCTCCTGCCCTCCCAAGGTTAGGTCGGGCATGCCCCCCTACAGGCGGATCTCGGACGAGAAATGAAACAATAGTCAAGAAATGTTTCCAAATAGCCAACAAATGTTAGACAAGTCGATCCCCAGAGTATTTTTTTGGCCAGTTTTGCAGACTCCTCCTGCAGAGGGACAGGCCCGACTGAATCCCAAAGGCTCCCGTGTGCGCAGTCCGCTTCCGTCGCGCCCCGCCGATCGCCGACCGCTTGCTGCACCCGGCTCGCCGCGGATCAAATTGAGATTTTTGGGCCTCGGGTTAGGTCTGGCGTGTCTCTCTACAGGGGGAATCATCAAAAAAAGTCCAAACAATAGTCTGGGGACGATTTTTCGTATATGTTTTGACGATTCTTGAGCATGTGTTTGCATATTTCCCTACCTAGGCTCTGCCTAGAAGGGTTCTTACTCTCTTAGCTTAAAGGGGCCGGGCAGTGGAAAGCGCCCCGGGCGGTTCCCCCAGTCCCCTGGGAGCGGTTCCCACCAGTCCCCTGGGAGCTTTAGCTTTAGCTTTAGCTTTAGCTTTAGCTTTAGCTTTAGCTTTAGCTTAGCTTTAGCTTAGCTGTAGTTTAGCATTAGTTTAGCTTTAGCTTAGCGTTTCGCTTAGTTGTTCGCTTAGCGTTTTGCTTAGCGTTAGCTTAGCTTTAGCTTAGCTTTAGCTTAGCTTGAGCTTAGCTGTAGCTTAGCTGTAGCTTAGCTTTAGCTTAGCTTTAGCTTAGCTGTAGCTTAGCTTTAGCTTAGCTTTATCTTAGCTTTAGCTTAGCTTTAGCTTAGCTGTTGCCCAGCTTCAGCTTAGCTTTAGCTTAGCTTTAGCTTAGCTTTAGCTTAGCTTTAGCTTAACTTTAGCTTAGCTGTGGCTTAGCTTTAGCTTAGCGTTAGCTTAGCTGTAGCTTAGCTTTAGCTTAGCTTTAGCTTAGCTTTAGCTTAGCTTTAGCTTAGCGTTACTGTTACTACTAATGCTGCTTTCCTAGGGGTTCCAACTCCTAGGTAGGGTCGCACTGGGATAATGTTGATTTGTCGCCCAAAACCCCCCTGTAGGGGGACATGCCCGATCTAAATCTTTGGATCTCGGGCGGCCCCCGCCGCTGCCTTCGTTGCACTCGCCAGCGCACCCGTCCTATGCGGAGGGCCGGCAGAGGTCGAGTCTCCAGGGCCGTCAAGGCAGGCGGCCCCGGGACTGAACGAGCGAAGGACGGTATAGACATGAACGTTTCGCTGTCGGGGGCGCCCGTCCCAGGGCGGCTGGAACATTTATGGCTTTACGGTGGCACGTCAAAGTATGAACTTTCCAGCCGCCCCGGGGAAGGCGCCCCCGGCGACGGGAAAGTTTATCGTAGACCCTTCTTCGCCCGCTCATGGACGGCCGGCGCAGCCCAGGGCATTGCACGCAGCGTGGGAGCCAGCAGGGCCAGCCACGGGACGGGTGCGCCGGCGGATGAAACGCCGGTCCCGGGGAAAGGGTCGGGATTTCCAGGGACGCCGTCCTGAAACAATCAGGTCAGGACGTCGCATGTCTGGGGATGTGTGTTGCCACTCGTGAGGAAGGCGGAGGAAGGCCGGCGGAAGCCGGCGGACGTCAAGGGGGTGCGGCGAGCCGGCGGAGGCCGGCGAAAGGAGAAGATGCGCCCCCGAGAGAGAGAGAGAGAGCCGCATTTGTGGATTGAGTCTTTTTGGGAGTCGGCCACGTGCTTGTGCACCGAACCTGTCCACACCAGACCAGATGTGGTGGGAGATCATCTTTGCCGGGTAGATCGGAAACGCCTGTTCCAGGGCGGTTGCGGGCCCTTCAGTCGGGCCCACGTTGGCGGCAACATGAATGCGGCCCTCCTCCACCCCTGGGCCCAGACGTCAATCAGACAGGCGTATGATTGGTCCGCCTCGCTCTTGCCTTCTTCTCCGCCCCCTCTCCATTATCCCCCCTTTCCTGTCCTCCGTGCCGCCTGCATTTCCTCGACCTCTGCTCCTCCGTAGCGTTCTTTCACGCTTGCCATGTTAGTCCCATTTGGACTCTATTGTCTTGCGCTGCGTACATGTATGGAGGGGGAGGAGGAGGCAGGGAAGGCGGGGGTGGAGGCGGTGGCGGGCAAGCAAGAGGACGAGGACGAGGACGAGGGACAGTATGATGAGGCTGACTATGATGATTAAGACAAGAAGGAATAGGAGGATGAGCAGCAACGGGCTGATGACGATGATTATGCCATTCATGATGATGCTGTGGATGACGACGATGATGATGAGGATGACGACGCCGTTGACGATGACAGTGTTGATGATCATGCCGTCGCCGTCGCTGCTGCTGCTGATGATGGTAGTCATGCTGGTTGGGATGATGATGCTCATGTTGATACTGATGCTGCGGATGACGATCTGAGTATGCCGATGATATGGCGATGTTTGTGATGAGTATGATGGTGATGATGGACGAGGAGGAGGAGGAAGAGGAAGAGGATGAGGAGACTGGGGTAGAGGAGCAGGACGAGCAGCGAGGAGAAGGGAGATGTGAATGAGGTCGAGGAGAGGAAGGCCGAAGATGGTGACGTTGATGATGACGTTGATGATGTTGATGATGTTGATGATGATGATGATGATGGTGATGACGATGCTGATGCTGCTGATGCTGATGATTATTACGATGATGGCCATGATGATGATGATGATGATGGTGATGATGATAGTGATGATGATGCCGAGGATGATGGTGCTGGTGATGATGAGGATAATGATGCTGTTGATGGTGGTGGTCATGTTGACGATTATGGTGATGTTTGATATGATGCTGGTGGTGAAACTGATGATGCTGATGTTTACGGTGATGGAGATGATGGAGATGCTGCTGCAGATGTTTATGATGCTGATGTTGACGATGCTGCTGCTGATGATGATGATGGTGATGGTGATGATGGTGATGATGCTGCTGCTGATGATGATGATGATCATGATGATGCTGATGATGATGATGATACTGATGCTGATGATGCTGATGCTGATGCCGTTGATGGTTATGATGATGGTGATGGTGATGGTGATGGTGATGGTGATGGTAAGGGTGATGGTGATGGTGATGGTGATGGCGGTGGTGATGGTGCCGGTGATCGTGGAGGTGCTGATGATGTGGGGAATCTGGTAATACCGATGGTGAGGCTGAAGATGCGCATGACGATGCGGATGAGGAGTATCAGAGACGAGCAGGACGACTATGATAAGACGGAGGAGGGGGATGGACGAGCAAGCTCCTGAAGCTCCTTCTTAAGCTCCCCCTCCCTCCCTCTCGAAGCTCCTCCGCCCACCACTCCTGGGGCTCCTCCCTGCCTCCTCCGCCCTGGCGTGGCAGGCAGAGCCCCTGCTGATCCAGATCTGCTCCCAGCCCGAGGACGTCCAGGAACGCCTCTTGCCTCCAGTCCTTTTGGGGGCCCTTCTGGGCAGGGAGGGGGGCAGGCGGACTGGAGGGGAAGTCCAGGCGGGGAGATGCCAGCAGGCGTGCCCACTGCAGTTCTGCGGTTCCCGGTGTCCCAGGGAGGGTCGGGATGCCTTCCATGAAGCAAGGTTCGGCGAGAGCTTCAGGGCGGCGGGGCAGATGCGCCGATAGGCCACGTTTGGGCTCAGGAGCCACATCGACCAAGCAGATATGGATACGTGCCACCTCCGAGGGGGGTGGGGGAGAGAGGAGGGGGAGGAGGAGGAGGAGGAGGAGGAGGAGGAGGAGGAGGAGGAGGAGGAGGAGGAGGAGGAAGAAAAGGAGGAGGAGGAGGAGGGATAAGGGGGAGGAGTGGGGGGCACCAGGACGACGGCGGGGAGGAGGACACCTGCGGGGAAGGACGAGGGCGGGCGGGAGGAAGAGGGGGGGAGGGAGGAAAACACTGGAAGGTGGCAATCGGCGCCTCCAGGTATAAGGTCAGAGTTGTAGGGGCACGCTGGTACCACTCCCCGCGGCCGTCCTCGTTGGCCGAGGGACCGCAGGGAGAGCGTCGGCCCCCTCCGGTGCCAGGGGGCAGGGATGAGGGGAATGGGAGACCAGGGAGCGAGCGGGGAAAAGGGGGGAGCTTGGGGGAGAGGGTGGAGGGGCCCAGGCCTCCCCGCGTCGTGAAAGAACACACGACGGGAGCTTTTTCCCTATGTTCGGCTTCAGGGGGCCCTTACTGGGCGGGCCCTGGGACCGTCAAAAAACGACCCAGGAGGAAAAACCGGTCCTGGGATGGGTCCAGACCTCTGGGGGTCGGGGTTGCGCAACAATCACGACGTCAGGGGGTCTGGGCTGGGGGAGGGGGCGGAGGGATGGGCAGTGAGGGAGGCGAGTAACAGGAGGAGAGGGAAGAGGAAGGGTGGGGCTGATGAGGTGGAGGAGGTGGAGGAGGAAGAGGAGGGAGGAGGAAGGAGGGGGAGGACGGGGAAGGAAGGGGAAAGGTATGAGGAAGAGGAGGAAGGAAGGGGAGGATCCCGTGCTCGGATATGTTATGCAATACTCTCGTACTGATTATCGCAGTTGTTCCTCACATACTTCTCGTCCATATCCTCTTCCCTGCCCCGAGAAGTTGGAACACAACAACCCATCGCTCGCAGTGGGGATTTGAAGTCGCCACGAACATGGACTTGGAGCTGCGCGTGTCGCTGGGCAAGTTTGATCGGGGCGTGACGTACAATGAGGCTGGGCTCTGGTGGTAGACATGATGCGTGAGGCAGTGGGGGGAGGTGGGGAGCATAGCCAGACCAGGAACAGGAGGAGGAGGAGGAGGTGGAGGAGGTGGAGGTGGAGGAGGAGGAGGAGGAGGCGGGGAAGGGGGAGGGGGGGGAGAAGGAGGAGGAGGAGGAGGAGGAGGAGGAGGAGAAGAAGGAGGAGGGGGGAGGAGGGGGAGGAGGAGGAGGAGGAGGAGGAGGAGGAGGAGGAGGAGGAGGAGGAGGAGGAGGAGGAGGAGGAGAGGAGGAGGGAGGAGGAGGAGAAGGAGGAGGAGGAGGGAGTGAGAAGGAGGAGGAGGAGGAGGAGGAGAAGAGGAGAAGGAGGAGGGAGGAGGGAGGAGGAGGAGGAGGAGGAGGAGGAGGAGGAGGAGGAGGAGGAGGAGGAGGAGGAGGAGGAGGAGGAGGAGGAGGAGGAGGAGGAGGAGGAGGAGGAGGAGGAGGAGGAGGAGGAGGGAGGAGGAGTAGGAGGAGGAGGAGGAGGAGGAGGAGGAGGAGGAGGAGGAGGAGGAGGAGGAGGAGGGAGGAGGAGGAGGAGGAGGAGGAGAAGGAGGAGGAGGAGGAGGAGGAGGAGGAGGAGGAGGAGGAGAGGAGGAGGAGGAGGAGGAGGAGGAGGAGGAGGAGGAAGGAGGAGGCGGGGAGGGGAGGAGGAGGAGGAGGAGGAGGAGGAGGAGGAGGAGGAGGAGGAGGAGGAGGAGGAGGAGGAGGAGGAGGAGGAGGAGGAGGAGGAGGGGGAGGAGGGGGAGGAGGGGGAGGAGGATGAAGACTCAGGAGGAGGAGGAGGAGGAGGAAGAGGATGTGGAGGTGAAGCAGCAGGAGGAGCGAGCGCGTCAGTCGCGTCTGGGTCGTACGCGCGACTCTGCGGGGGAGCTGCCGCCCCGCCTGCGAAAAGGCTCTTGCGCAGAGGCCTAAGCACTCGCTCGTCAGTCGAGAAGGAAGGTACAGTCGTTTTTCCTCCTCCTTCTCTTGTTCCTCCTCCTCCTCCTCTTCTTCCTCCTACCCTTCCTCCTCCTTTTCCTCCTACTCCTCCTCCTCATCGAACGAGGAACGCTTCACAGCATATTGTCGGGCAGCATGAGCACATGATGCTTGTTGGAAACAAAAAAGGATGAGGCTGGGCAGTGAAATGATCGGTGGATGGGGCATGACACGAACCGAACCTGTTCAGCAACACTGTCTTGTCGGTACCTGTCTGCACTGAAGAGCAATCGCGCCGAAATTGAGTTGGCAGTCGGGGGAAGTGGGTCAATTCAACGGCTATCCGGTCTGGTCGGTGTTGTTGTTCTGAACCTGTTCGTGAATGCGGAGCACTCGGATTTC